CACAGTCAAGGCAAGATAGCCCAGCATCTTGTCCAGCTGAATCTTAAAGTTGTCTGGTGTTGGGGAAACCACCACTTGCCTGGGGAGCTTTTTCTAATGGCTGACAGTTCTTACTGTGAAAAATTTTCTTCTTGTATCCAATCAGAAAATTTCCAGGAGGAACTTTTACTTCTTGTCTTTTTTCACGGGATTCCTTGTAAAAACAGTCTCCATATTCTTTGTAGCCACCCTTTAAATAGTGGAAAATGGTGATTTAGTCTCCTCTGAGCCTTCTTTTCTCCAGGCTGACCAAAACCAGTTCTCTCTGCTTTTCCTCACATGGCAAGGATCCCAATCCTCTGGTCATCTTTGTGGCCCTTCTCTGGAGCCTCTCTTGCCTGTCCACATCCTTAGAGTTAATTCCCAGCTCTCTAAGGTTTTTTCCTGTGCCTAACCCAGCCATTTTTCTGCTGATGTAGGAAGAGCTCTTAGGAAGAGTGCAAGGATCCTGAGCACATAAGCGTCTACAGGGAAGAAAGCATTTGCATCTCCTAATTTCAAACAGAGATGTGAACATAACCATTTATTTCCAGATGCCTGGTTAGGACCACCAAAAACAAAACAAAACAAAAACCCACCAACAATACTTCATTTCAAAAAATCTCTCTCTTCCCCCAGTGACCCTAACATGGCTATCATCATTTAACATGTTTTAGTATCTAGTTTTATTCACACTGAATCTGGCACATTTTCTGTCCAAGAAGTTAAAATTATTTTTCTGGTTCTTGGATTGCAATTGTAGGTTTGTTTTGGTCTGTTTTGGTTTGGTTTTTTTTGGTTTTGTTTTGTTTTTTGTTTTTGGCCTACACTAATTTTAAGTATGCTTTATAAAATATTTGATGCCTCCAATCCCTTGAGAACACAGATATTTTTATCCTTGGTTTTGGAGAGAAAAAGAAAGGAGACCAGTAGGGTTTAAAAACAGCATTCACWTCCTTTGTTCATTACTTTAATAATTTTGTATTTCTAGCATGTGGCTCTCCCCTCTAACAAGGTATTATTCTTAATATATTCAGCAGGAAGAAAAGGGAGTCTGAAAATGATCAGAGCAGCTGCCTTAACGCTCTTACATCCTGAAACTCCTTAATGGCTCAGGCTTGCTGTGGACTGAACAAAGACARCAATGCTTGCAAACAGACATACTTTCCAACTGTATCTGTTTGCCTAGAAGAAAAAAAAGATGAATTATTCTCTGTAATCATACTCCTGTATTGTGGCTCCTGTCAGTTTATATTGTATGTAAGTAACAAACCAATCCCAATCCCACAAATATTAAAGGAGAACAAAACCCAGTGAAGTATATGTGTAACATTAGCTGAATGGAACCAAAATAACCATCCATCTAGCAAGGAGAAAACCACAATTGATCTACGGAAAATGACTGTATTCTACTTGACCTGGAGATTAAAAAGATATCCTATCTAATATGAAACCAAAGCGGCAGCATCCCCAGTATAAGAGTAAATCTGAAAGAATAAAAGAGTTACTAAAGAAATCATGTGAATATGAGTCCTTGCTAGCATTTCTACAATTGTCAGTTTACGATTTTTCATGATTTTTAATGTTTCTTTGCCTACATCTTACTCTGTACACTATATATCAGGGCTCCTTAAAACATCCTGTGGAAAATCTTGGCACAAAAGACAATCTTGACACAATGCCACTTTCATTCTCTGCCCACTTGTGCTGTATGTACCACCCCAGCAGCAGATGTTTCCTCACCACTAGGGCTCCCTCCCTCCCTTATGTGGTGTATAATCATGGTTTACAATCGTGATATTGCATGCACAGTGATGAGTGCACAGAACAGGCACAGCCCAGCTTAGCCACAGAGAGATGGAGAAATGGATGTGGCTGAAAGATTTTCTGCCGAGGTTGGTCTTTAAGTGGATATGCTCTGCAGGTGGCCTCACAAACAGTTGTGCTGCATGTCTGCAGGGAATGGATGTACAGCTGAGCTCTGTGAAATGGGGAAACCATTTTTAATTATCTCGTCAAAGCTCACATGTTAGGTGGAAGCACATAACACACCAGCTTTGCAAAGGTCTCTAACACAAATTCACAGAATTTTAGGTGCTATTGCCACAAACAAGTTTCAGACCAGAATAATGCAGTCTCGTGCTGTCTCCAGCTCTAGTCTGCTCATGACTGAGTTAGTGATAAGGCATAGGTCAGATCTTTCTGAAAGTCCATTCTGTTCCCTTCCCTACTGCATGTGGTTTCTTTTATTCTTCTACCCTCTTCTATATTTACACTTAGTCATCTGCACTTTTTCTTTTTTTTCTATCAAAAATGGCTAGAGAGAAGGGTTTTCTATTATTGTCTCCCTCTGATGCCTCCACAAAACTCAACAGGCATCTCTGGTGATGCTGATATGAAAATTTAGAAATAAAAATACTGTGAAGTATCCTGTGAAAATTTCCTGCCCAGGAAATTTGGTTTTTAGGAGTAAATAGCAAAATGGATGTCATCAGATTCCAATGGATGTGGTCAATAAAATAGCAGCTATATCCCCTCCAACTAGCAAAAAGTAGACACAAGCTTTCATGGGTRCTTTGGGATTCTGGAGGCAGCATTTTCCAGATTACAGTCAAATTGTAAGCTTTTCTATTTAATGACCCAGAAGAAGAACGATTTCCAGTGGGGTCCTGAACAAAAGATTTTGAACAAATTAAGCAGGAAATTGTTCATGCAGTAGCTCCTGGGCCAGTCAGAATGGGGCAGGATGTAAAGAATGTGCTCTATGCTGCAGCCAGGGAGAAYGGTCCTTCATGGCGTCTCTGGCTAAAAGTACCCTGGAGAGACTCGAGGATGTAAGTAACAAGGTGTAAGCTGGGGCTCTGGATTTGGGGGTACAGAGAATCTGTGACCAGCTAGTCCCCAAGTGAGAAAGAGATTCTCACCTCAGAAGTGATCGGTACCAAAGCACAGCTGCTCCTGGCACCCCGACTGCTGGGMTGGATGTTCAAATGGAAAGTCCCTTCCACACATCACGCCTCTGATGCCACATGGAGTAAGTGTATGTTGATCACACAGCAAGCTCAAATAGGAGAGCCCACTGCCCAGGGATCTTGGAATTCATCACGAAGGCAAAAAYTTTTGGTTATCATCATCATCAGAGGAAGAAAAAGTGACACATGCTGAGGAGGTTCCACCATATAATCAGCTACCAGAAAATGAAAAGCAATACACTCTCTTTACTGGTAGTTCCAGTCAGGATAGCATGGTATGGTTGGGGCTTTTCTGTGTGGTAGGTACTCACATGAGAATTTTTCACCTCTCTTGTGTGTGCTTTTATTAATATTGTTGCTGTGACTGTTCAATTTTTATTTCATTGCTGTTTCCAGTAAATTGCTCTTATCTCAGCCTTTGATCTTTACCTTTTGTGGCTCCTGTTCTCTTTTCCAGCCGGTTGCAGGGGAAGAAGGGAGTGAACGAGTGGCTCATTGTTTGGAAGGTTTCAGTAGGAACACTAAATTGGGGAATACCATTCCTAAACCATGACAGCAAGTTAGAGGAAGTCAAGCAAGAGCACATGCAAGACATTCTAATCAGCCCTAAGATGCATTGATACGGTCTGACAAGAACATTGTCTTTTGTTTCTTGAAAAAAGGAGGGGAAAAGGCACAAACAGACCCAAGCTCTTTAACTAGTATTTCTTACTTGTCCGGTTCTTTGACTGATTTGCTTAAATCATTAATAATCAACACTCAGTAGACAACAGAAATGTTTTTGTTTTTCTACTAATTCAAGTCTTCTGTGAACTCCAAATAGCTAGCAAAAAGTAAGATTCTGCAGGATCATCCATCTTCGTAATGCTGTGGAAGCTTTCTTTCAAGCTTCYATACTACCATTTCAATAACTGACTGAGGACATGCATATGTTGTGTTTTAAGCGAGAACTGGCACCCACGCYCTGGTTATGTTAAACTGATGCTTGATTTATTATTAATAGTCCTTTGTAAAGAAATTAAATTATGAATCCAGTATATTGGTCTTGGTGTTGCACATTTCTCATACAACGTGTTGCAGCATTTGCAGTAATGCCTTATCAATCAGGCTAATCTGAAAKAGAGGCCAGACAAACTTAAGAGAATGACAATAGACAACTTTAACACAGGTCTAACAGGCTGTCTTGGGTYGATTTTATGATAACACTCTATTCCTATATTCCGTCTGCTTGTATGCCCAGAAGGTACCTGTGCCTTTAAATCTGTCCCAGAAGAAGRGGCAGGGGTGGCACAGGCAGCTTAAAAGCCGGGGCTGCCGGGCAGCCATTGGCTTTTTGGACCTCAGCATCAGCACTGCGGGAGTCTCTACTCGCTATGTGCAGGGGAGTTACATTGTTGCCATTTAGCTAGCTCGTGTTTGTTAGTTTGGGCAAAGCACTTTCCCGGGACTGTCACCCCTTTTTCTCTGAYTCGTGTGATTTTTCTTCTGGAGCAATTTGGTGGCCGGCAAGGACAAGTGGCGCYGCTCCATCTCATCCCGGACTCCAGAAGAAGCCAAGCCGGTGACAGAAAAGCACATCATGCCCTCCATTTCATCCACAGTGAGGACTGTTCCAGGTTTTGCCACTGTTGCCTGAACAGCCGAGTGGATTTTTTTTTTWAATCTTTTGTTTCTTTTTCCCRGGGATGGGAGCCAYGCCATCTTCTCCGCACCATGTGGCCGAGTGGCTGTGGGGGRAGGAGGCAGCGGGCATTGCTGGACTTTTAAATCTCTAACAGTTACCTTTTATGTGTGTTTTGTTAATACTCTTTTTCTCTTCACTTTTGATGAACATTTATTTCATACCGGTGGGAAAAAAATAATCAAATTTTTCACTTCACAGGAAACATTTACTCTGTAACGTTCTTCTCTGAAAACATTGTCTCAAACCGAGACACAGGCCTACTGGCACAATAGGGCAGACAAAAGCCTCCTCCTGAGGCTACACCCAAAATGGACCCYGAKTCASGAGWCCTTCACYTTTTGTAAGTTCTGCCTTATTAACATGTTGGGTCTTAAATCTCCAATCTTTTCAGGTGACGATGTCAACCACCCCAAACTTGCTACCCTCCAACTCACTTTGTTTACATATTTTGGGGCTCTGAGACAGTGAGATGTCCTTGGATTCAGGCTCAGAGAGGAATTGTTTTGTCTATAGATGGGAGAATGGTAGTTTTTAGAGCTGTACTAGAGAAGTACAAGAATACAGATGCATGAAAATATAGAAACTAAAAATCCTAAGGCATCATTTCCCCCCTTCAGAGGCCTGAAAAGGCCTTTACCTTGTCAGGTCTCTATTCTAGATATCTACTGATAGTATGTATCTAGCAACAATTAATATTTAACAGTAGTAAACCGAATTAGGATTACAGTTATTATGAACTGTTCTTTGGTCTAGGTCAGTTTGGTAACCATGACACGAGGGTGTGGAAGATCTACTCAAAACTCAAAGTAATGTATTTTGAATGTTGTCTAATATGAAAATTTGAAATTTAGATACCTATTTTTGACTAGGATCATATACAGACTTTAGTTCCATTCCTGTACCAMAGTTAGCAACTGCGTAGATCGCAAGTACAGAAACCCTTGTTTTAAACTACATCATCTCCGTTTGCATCAGTCTCTGTTTTTCCAGTTGTTTCAGGAGCAGAAGCCTTCTTAACTCGGAAATAGTGAATCCAGGGTCCTTTGCCAGCAACTTTGACTGCAGTAAGGGTTGTCAGCAGGACTTGGAATGGTCCTCTCCATTTGGCCTGTAAGGGATCACTGTCCCACCACTTAACATAGACCCAGTCTCCAGGTTGGAAGGGATGTGCAGGCATGTCCAGTCCTATGGGTCTTGATAACACGATGTAATTCTGGAGCTTCTGCAAAGTGTAACTTAAAACTATTAGATATCTCTGCAAATCAAGCTTGTTTTGAGCGTTACATTCATGCATTTAGCTTTATCACTTGTCTGGGATAAGTAGGGAATTTCCAAATCTCAAATAATTCCCCACATTTGACTAACTTTCCCAATCACTGGGGGACCAACCCCAAAGGAACCCCAAACTTTGGAACTGTATGGTTAAGTAAAACTTCCACCATTTGCCTTGCTGTGTTASTGTGACAGTGGTAAGGCTCAGACCATGCACTAAAAGTGTCAATCTGACACCAGTACATACCTGTATCCTTTTACGTGGTAACTCAGCAAAATCTATTTGCCAATAATCTCCAGGAAAGTCCCTTGTCTCTGTTGTTTCAAAAACAACTATTTTGTTCATGTTCGGGTCATTCTTATAGCAGATTTCACATTTATCTGTTATAAACTGCACAATATCAGTCACTTCCTTTTCTATTACTACCCTTTCCAGAAGTTTCATAGAGTTCTTTGTTTCCCTATGTGTTTCCTCATGCTCTCACTGCAGTGGAATTACAATCTGTCTTTCTAATGTAATAGTCCATTCACTTTCTTTGGTTTCAGCCTTTGTGCCAGAAAACTGATGATCTTTCTGATCATATTTTGCAGCAAAGTTTGACAGACCAATTTCCWTCTTGATGACTTTGGTCAGTTCTAGATTTTTCACTGATGTTATCAGTTCAGCTCTCTGTGATTATACATCTGATACCAAAGCTTTTGCTTTGTTTACCTGGTTGGCAGTTTGTTTACCAGGTTGCCATCTTGCCTGAATCTGTTTTTGTCTGCATACAGCTCCCAGTCAGGGTCTTGTAGTGGCACATCCTTCAGGTCTGGTCTGCTGGAATAGGCTTCTTCCACAGTCTGCAAACAATTACAGTCAGATATATTATTAGTTAGTGTCGGGAAGAGAGACATGCCAGGATTGACAGCAAACGTTTTCAGAATAGCATTATCCTGTTCCAGTAATGTGGCATGAGGTGCCTGTCGTCGGAGTTCACAGAACAAACTTACAGTGAGCTGGATCCAGCTGTTAAATGCAGCAATTCTTGGCTGCTGCCTTTTTCATTTCCCTAGATTCTCTGCCAGCTGATTTCTGAATATAGCTCTGCTACTCTTTAAACTCTTAGATAGGACAGTCTTGACGAGCTGATCCCTTCTCTCTCTTTCAGGATTTTTCCACTTATCTGTAAAGACTCCTTGGTGCATCTTATTCACAGGGATGTAGGAGAAGAGAGTTTTAAAATTTACTTCAGTAAGCCATCTTGAACTACTGGCTATTATTTTCTTGAAAAATCCTAATAGATTCTCCTAAGGAGAGTTTGGCAAATAGAGAAACTGAAAAMTTACCCAGGGTTTTCCCAATTTATATTTCAAAGATTGAAAGAGGGATCTCATGTCTCTCACCCCTGTGACACTGAAAGCTTTTACAATACTTTGACTCAGATTCCTTTCTAAAGAATTTAACACAGAATGCACTGCTCCAATATCCACCAGAAATTCAACACTGTCTTTTCCCAGCTTAGCTACAACCAAAGGTTCTGCTGGGAGAGAAGCCTTCAGTCCCTGTCATTTTGATTCTGATTTCTGTTCCACAATCATTTGGGGAGCTGAGGATCTCTTTTCCATCATGGGACAATCCTTTTTCCAATGTCCCTTATTCTTACAAAAGGCACATTGGTCTTTGTCCAAATGTAAAGAAGTACTCCTAGTTTTTCTTGGCTACCTCTCTTGCTGGAATGTTTATCCTTGTCATTGGAATCTCTGTCTCRAAATGCTTTCCAGGCTACATATAACAATTTACTCATGTCCGGTACCCCTTCTAACTTCTGCAGTTTTCTCCTTATATCACTTGTAGCCTGACCTACAAATAGATAAGACAAATGAACTTTTCCCTCAGTTGACTCAGGATCAATGTTCGTGTATTTAATCACAACATTTCTTAACCTTTCTAGAAAGTGAGATTCATCTAATCCCTGCTTTATGTTATGTAATTTAGACCAATTTACAGCTTTAGGAACACCATTCTTAGCCCGTACACTATGARTCTCTGGTATTGTTTTAGTCTATCCATTTGGTCTGCGATATTTGGGTTCCACCTTGGATCAGTTGTTGGGAAGATTTCAGCAGTGGTGCCTGGAAGTGTTCCACTTGCTGTTTGTGACTCTACAGAACAGTAGTAATGTGACTGTCATTGCATTTAAGTCAGTCCAGCCAGGGTTCTGTGTAGTAACTGCTCTCCGTACTAAGTCAGCAACCTTATCTGGGTTCTCTTTATACTTCCCAACAGTGGTTTTCCAATGTTCTAACTCCATAAGAGAGTATGGGACCTTTATGTATACAGGCCCTTGGTTACCGAGGGCCTCTCTTAGAGGGGCTTGTAAAACTGGTTCTCCCTGCTGTTGTCTGGCTCTCGTTCTCTTAGCTATGGGACTCCATTCTCTTAAGGCTCTTGTTGCAACTTTCCCCCTTTTTCACCTGGTAGTTGTTTCTTGGCGCTCCTCTCTGGAGGATTCATCTGAATCAGTACTACTCTCTGTTTCTGTTGGGCCTGTTAGTCTGGAGCTACCCGGCCGACTCGCCCCGGCAGCCCGATGCCAGGCAGTCCCAGCCACACCAGCYCCGCTGTCGCAGGCCGTGACGTCACCTTCCGGGCCCGCTGCGGAGTGAGCGGCGTTGCCCTGATGACCAGGCTGGGTATTGCCACCTGTGACAGCGGCAGCAGGGCCGCCCTCCGGCCGAGGGCTCCGCCCCCCGSTCCCACCCCCAGGGACCGGTTCCGCAAGCACCACTCCCACTCATTCCCTGGCACCAGCCCTGGGGGCGGTGCGATCGACTGCGGGGAGTGCCCCCCCTGCCCGCCTGTAGGCTCCACCTCCAAGGGACGGGAAGGCGGCAAGGTGGGCCAGAGCGAACCAGATATATCTGATTTCACTAAAATTCCAGGCCCCTTCCCTGGTGGGKATTGCAGGGGTTCATCCCCTTTCAGCCCCACTTCCTTCCCCCTTTTTAGCAGCGACGCTGTCGAGATCATGACCCCGCTGGCGGTCCTTCCCTGAGACGGCTGCACGGGAGAAAAGGAAGCGGGGGGGGACCGGAGCCAGACTCAGCAGAGTCACACGTGGCCTCCCTTTTAGAAGAGGCAGTATTAAATAAAAATTGATCTTTTCCTCTTCATCCTCTTTTTTCCTTAAAACCATCACATAGTAATGCCCCCGGATCCCTGTATAGGAATTGGAGTCATGAGAGCAAGTGTCCCCATGTGAGAAGCTGCATCCCATACCTACACTTGAAACACAAGACAAAAACAAGGAACACTGGGAATTTGAACTCTCAATTTCTCATGTAGTGCAGAACTCAGTTAACTTTTTGAACCGCCAAACACAGCACCGCTTCTCATTCGCTTACTCACGTGGCTCTGTTGCTGGGTTCTTGGACTCCGGCACCGCTTGGACTGCAGTGGCCACTCCCCAAAAGCCGGCCAGGGGGAGTTTGGATGCTACTCGGTCCAAAGTATTCTCAGGAGCCGCCTTGTCCCTTCTGGGTTTGCCAAAACTGATGTCTTACCAATCAGGCTAATCTGAAATAGAGGCCAGACAAACCTAAGAGAATGAAACTAGACAACTTTAATACAGGCCTAACAGGCCTACTCGTACATTAGGGCAGACAAAAGCCTCCTCCTGAGGCTACACCCAAAATGGACCCCRATTCACGAGACCTTCACCTTTTGWAAGTTCTGCCTTATTAACATATTGGGACTTAATTCTTCAATGATCTATTCAGGTGATGATGTCAACCACTCCAAACTTGCTACCCCCCAACTTGCTGTTGTTTACATATTTTGGGGCTCTGAGGCAGCGAGGTTCAGAGAGGAATTGTTTTGTCTAAAGATAGGAGAACGGTAGTTTTTAGAGATGTACTAAAGAAGTACAAGAATACAGATGCATGAAAATATAGAAACTAAAAATCCTAAGGCATCAGTATAGTGCTCAGAAAAGACAGACAGGTGACTATATTTGTATCCCCTTGTCTGCTCCAGCCAGCACAGTGTGAGAGTTCATTAACTTGATCGAAAGCAGAAGTGCCTTCTCTCTCCAATGCATTAAAGAGATACAGATTTGAACCAGCAGAGAACCTACTCTGTACTTGCTCCAACAGCCCTCTAAATTGCATCCTCACCAGGGGCTCAAAGACTGCAGCTTCCATAAAAGCAGTTCGTTTTTCAGATGTTGCTAAACTCATCCTTCAGCCTTTCAAATTCCTTTTGCAATGGGAGGTGCTGCCCAGTTTCTGCTACAGTGCTCTTCAAGGGCACCTGCCAAGGGGTGTCATCCCTGCAATGGGCACGGCTGGAGGGAACAGCTAAACCTGCTCAAGACTGATGTGGATTGTGCTTAAGCAATCCCTCAGAAAATCCCTGAGCTGCTCTTCAGACCTTACTAGGCAGTTTCTACAAAACATGAAAATATTGATTTGAATGGAAGCAATCATCAGGTTGGATAAACACAGCAAGATCTTGCTGCTTTTTGGCTTTCCATGACCCACTTCACATGATGTTGCATATAGTAGGGCATACATGGGAATCAGGCTAAAACAGGGCTTGGCTAAAATGTATTTCCCAAGCTTCCTGCAGTTCTTTGGGATATCAGGCATCCTTTTCTGTCTGCCTGCCCAAGCTGGAGGAGCTGGTGAGGTGAGTGGACTTCGCAGGGCACAGCTCCCCATCCCTCTGTGTGCTGCTGGAATGGCACCCACTGCCTAGCAGCTGGGGAAGCCTGGCCAGAGGGAAGGAGCAGCTGAAGTAACAGGGAGCTGCTGCTGCTGCGTGTCTTAAAAGGTGAGAATGGCCTCCATGAGGCAGAGAAGGGAAGGAAGGGAGGGACTTGGCAGCCAGCTGAGCAGGGAATGGATGGTGCCTGGCTCTCCACAGGAATTGTGGACCAGTTGGCAAAGGCAAGAGAACAGACAGCTCTATTTTCCTATGGCTAGCCAAGGGAGTACAACTTTACTGTGACTCTTCAATTTATCACTGGCTACCTGCAAAAAGGTTCTGCATTTTGCATATTTTTATGCAAGCACAGCAGAACAAGAGCCACCTCTTGGGAAAATCACCACAGGACATTAACACCCTTTATGTCACAGTGGCTACAGCTGCAGCAGCAAGATGAAAAGGTCCAGGGCATGGATCCCATCACTGGCACCAGAACATCTGTGCTGTTTAACTGCTGATGTGTTTATTGGCACAGGTTTGACCTGTGCCAACAGTTCCAGGCAATGCCAGGGAGTGTTTTGATGCTTAGGATTTTTCACAAAAGGCCCTTTCCTTTTTGGGGCAAGAGATCTTACCTACATGATTGCAAATTGTGCCACTTACTGTCAGGACTGCAGAAGGAGCCCTGGCCTGGTTCATTTGGGGGTGGAGATACAGAGAGTGGGGCCAAAACTCGTCTGTTTCTGAGTAAAAATTTAGAACTATTATTGTAACTATTTTAAATAATAAACCATAGCCATGCCATTAAGATTAGCAAGTAGAATATACTAAACTGTATGTTTGGACACTTACTAAAATTGTGAATGAGCAAGTCAGATATATTGAGTCTGCATTAGTTTTCATGTAAAAATACCTAACAAATGCTAAATTGAGTAGCTTATAAAACCCATGATTCTCTGACTTTATACATTTTATTTTATTGCCTGTCAGGCTCTGGAAAGTTGTCTGTTTCCAATCTAGGGCAAGCAACATGTAACAGCACAACAATCAGCAGTGATCAAAGCTACATCAACTGCAGTTTCATTTTTTTTCATTGATACCAAATACTATTTGCTGTGGTGCACACCAGCTATGTAGGATCCTTTGCTCCAGAGAGATTAGTTCTCAGTGAGGCACATGGCACTGAACAAGCCAACTGTGCATGTTGTTTACAATGTCTGCTCTGAGAAGTGGCTCTATTATCAGCAGAAACGCTGCTGGGGCAGGCAGATTTTCTTAAAATGTCAAAGTTATCATTACTCTCACTTCATCAAAGATCTCATTGAGACAAATTGTGGTGACAGTCACCCCTTTCTGGTGATTCTGCTTGTCAGGAGGTCTAATTCGTCTGTCTCCCAAACTGCAGGCTCCTTTTTTATGGCAGGACACGAGTCTACCTCAGCTTCACATAACATGTGATGTTCCTCCATTCTGAAAGCCACAGGGATGCAATGAGAGGAAGGCAGTGTCCTGAGATAGCATTTCTCTTTCCACTCCAGATTGCTCCGAGGAGTTCCCTGTGAACATCTCAGAGTTTTGATCTCTCTTTAAAACCCTATCCTGCGGTGATGCTTATGAAGCTTGACTCGCAGCAGTCACCAAGGAGGTTCAGCAAGTTGAGATGAGCGCTTATCAAGTCAGTGTGACTCCACCAGGCATCCTGCCCTCCCAGCAGCCTTCCTCAGTGCACCCCACTGCCTGAAGCTTTCACGGCAGTTTTCAGAAAAAAAAGACCCCCTTCTCTTCATCAGTGAAAGAGTCTAGTGGGACAGGTCTCCCTAGAGTAGAGTCGCTCTCAGGGCGTGTTTCCCTCTTTCCCCGCTCTCTGCTCCATTTCCACAGCAAGTGCCCAAGTTCCTCAGCAGGTTTTAAATAGAAATCAGCAGGAAGGGCAGGCAAGGTTGATTAGTTTGCACACAGCAGGAGGTGCTAGTGCAGTCATCAAGAATTGACATATCAATTTCAGACCGGGGATAGAGAGACAGCAAAGATGATACACCACACACACAAATTGCCACTCAGCATCACTGAAAAGGCTCCAAGAAGAAAGGCACTATTTGCTTGTGGCATAACGCTGCTGCCTTCCGATCAGCCTCTCCAGATTTATACCCATGCTGCTCCTTGTACCCCTTTTTCCAAAGGAAAAACTGCAGCCTGGGATTAACAATTCTCTTAAAAAAAAACAAAACAAAACAAAAAAAAACCTAAAAAAGAAGAAAAAAGTTATATTAACAGATCACAATCACCGGCAAATCATTTGGAAAAGAAGAGCTCTTATCAATTTGAATAAAATCATTAAATAAATTCAGTATTTTATTATCTGTAAATAAGCAACTGAGGTACTGGCTGGGGATATTCTATGGTAGGAGAAGATATTTATCTCATTTTACTGTCACCATTAAATCCCAGAGAGCCTTTTCATTGATTAGCTCATTTTCATTTGTTCCAAACAGCCAAATGGCAGCAGAAAGCCATGCAGCACAGCAGTGACACAACAAAGTAATTCTGAAGGTAGATTTACTGATGTGAAAGCCAATAAAGGTTGTTTGGTCTTATTTTCCTCCAACCAGTGTACAAACTTGCCTCCATCATGTTATAAGCACATACTATAGTGTTGGCTTTCGCAAATATTAAGATGAGTGCTAAGTGTGTGTTAAACACATATTGTAGTGTTAGTTCTCGCAGAGATTAAAGGTAGATGCCATGTGTTGTGCATCATGATATAATATTGCCTTATTTGTAGAAGTTTAGTTATGTTTTTTTATATTATAGCAAAACTATACAAAAGCTGCAAAGAAAGTCACCAAAAAAACCCTGAATGGGGCCCTGATGGCAATGGTCCTTAAAGATAAGAAGCAGCTCAGAGCCCTTTGGGGTGGGTAGGCCATCACCCCAGGTCTATCAACTGTCAGGCCAGAACAGACCTGCCAGTGAAAG